TGTTGTGTTGAAATTTATTTTGTTTCGTTGATTAAACATTTTTTTAATTGAATGAAATAAAAAATATAAATAAAAACAGAATATGATGATTTCCAAATCCCTTTAACCTATACTCAACTGAACACACGACAAAGCCAAGATATTTAAGATAAACTTTATTATTTTTAGCAAATATTCACTCATTTAKAATGGGAATAAATCCATACATAACCACTCACTTCCTACATGTTTACAGACTGTTGATAAAAAGGGGATGTTCACAGTAGAAAACACAGCTCTGTCGCACCTAGTTTGACATTTGCTGCTGCCAGCAATTAAAAATAAAAACTATTAAAAAACTGCACAATTTTTAAATTTTAACCCCTGATACTGTATGTTTAGTAGCTTCTATTGTGAATAAAATGTGGCTTTATAAGATTTACAAATCATTGCATTCTGTTTTATTTTCATTACAAAATCCCAGCTTTTTCTGACCTGTGGTTGTAAATGTGAAACAACAGCACAGGTTTTAATGAAACTCTCARAAACACCAGCTGTCAGGTCAGGTGAGACTGGACATGAGGTTATCAAAGTTGGACCAAAATAATTCTGTCAGTTCTCTTYATGAGATGATCTTAGTCTAAAACTAAAGGTGGTGATGATCCTGAACAGCAGGACCTCTGATTGGTTTAAACMTTTTACCTGATTTCATTTTCTATACATTAACAAACCTTTTACTGATTTTTTTATTGATGTTCATGTTTCTAGGTGGTGATGAGCTTTTTGCTGATTACTACAGCACTTCATAAAGATTTAATTTCAGTTCTGTTCAAGTCTACATTCAAGTCAGCAGATGACTTGCATCTAGTCCAGAATGTCTGTCTCAGAGACCTGGATGTTCAGAGTAAAACGGCTCAGTTCAGGTCTGAGGTTGAGGATTCTGAGCCACGCTTCAGTCAGTCACAAGAWATCAACCAAACATCAAGTATGTTCTACCTTCTGAGCAGCCAGCATCACTGCTCCCATCAGGTGGAGCTCAGCAGAGAAGAAACAGATTGAACTTCCTGATCGTACCTCTCTGGTGTTCTGCTCTTCAGTCAACACTGGGTTTAACTGATCCTGTCTCTGTGCTTTTCTAAAACTTTCATTATGTCTCATCAGCCCTCTGTTGTCTGAAGATCTGAGACAKGCTGCAGCTCCTCTGGACTTTCAGGGCCACAGTGACTCACCTGGAAGCGTTGCGAGGTGTAGAGCTTCTTCAGCGTGTCTCTGAAGGTGAGAGCTGGTGGGAACTGACCTGCAGCTGGACTCAGGTCCTCACTAGTCACATGCAGCTCCTCCTCCTCCAGCTCAGCYGGCTGCTCATCACCCACCGTGGTGAAATACTTCAGGTAGCGAGCCATGGAGGCAGACGACCCGCTGCGGCTCAGCTCTGAGGAGGAAAGAACAGGTCAGGCTGGAGGCAGGCCTGTCTGACTCTTCACCACCGGACCTGCAGACCAGCTCAGATCAGGAACAGCTTTGTGAAATCTTCAAAAGTTAGACTTCTTCTTTTTTTAGAGTTTCAACATGTTGCTTCACTCTGATGTTCAACAAAATGTTTCCACTTTTTATAAAACAAACAAGAGTTCTCCCCCTGATTGAAGTCTGATGGGCTTTTTCACTAAATTAGAGAAGAAAGCTGCAACCACMGACAACAGAACTGGTTCTGCTTCCAGCAGTTCATGTCCTGCACTGCAGTTACATATAAACATTAACGTGGGTCAATAATTTGATACGTCATCATTAAAATGCCTTATCGTCTTCATTTTTATAATCAATGTCGTCGATTATGTCGACTAATCGTTGGAGCTCTATTAACAAGGGCCAGATTTGGCCCACGAGCCATGAGTTGGACACATGGGCTCTAAAGGAAGAACAGTGATGAACAGGTTTTTCAGAGGTGTAGGACCCTCAGGGTCTTCTGCTCCACATTACATTGTACTGAAGTGTGGTACAGATACATGTATGAACATGTATCTGGGCTTGTGTTTTGGACTTGCTGTCTTAGCCAGGTCACTCTTAAAAAAGAGGTTTTTAGTCTCAATGAGTTATTTCCTGGTTAAATATTATGATCTGAAACACTGTTAGCAGGTTCTTTTCACTACATAAAGGCTCATGTTAGCAACATACACTCACCGGCCACTTTATTAGGTACACCTGTCCAAC